GAATAAATGTGATTCATTGTCAGGATTGATGATACTTTTTTGTTCTAAGTTTCATAATCAGTCTTACAGTCTAACATCACTAAATAAACAGCTTCTTGGATGAGTTTTTTTTCCTAATGAAAACAAAAAAACATGTTCTGTTGAAGGGTTTTAATTAACAGATTGAACCCAAAAACAAAATATTCAAAACTTTTTGGTACAAGCCTAAGATATTACAAACATACAGTCTTTAATGGTGTGTTACATATTTAAGTAACAAACAGGGAAAAAAGAAAAAAAAAACATTTGATGAAAGAAAACCTCAGATCAGTTGTGTGGTATAAATAATCACAGCTGGACAGAAAATCCCTTTAGCGACTTGACATCAGCTCGCAGTGCTCACAGGTAGCTGTGCTCTTTCCAGGAGCACATTTGAAAACCAAGAAATAAATAATCACATATAGGTGTGAGATTATTGAATCTGCTTGGATTGACAGAATGTCCACACTGCTACACTGTGTTTTAACATGACCAGGCTAATCTAGAAAGAAACACAAAGGAGGGCTCTAAAAGTGTAGCTGTTTCTCGTTAAAAAACAAATTCTCATCCAACAAGTCTGATCAATTCACTCTGAAAAAAATAAAATAAAACAACAAAAATCTTCATACAATTCTTCAGCTGTTAATAAAGTTGATCTAAAAGTTCTGTACAAAGGTAGGAAACCACAGCGGACACGTCCCTGCATCCTGCACGACCCACCCTGCTCTCCAACTGAGTTAATCCACCGCCTCTGAATGCTTCTAGAAGCTTAAACATCTCCGTCTGTAAACTTTAGCCTTGTGCTTCCAAAAAAAAAAAAAAAGGAGAAAAAGTCAGGTTGAAAGTGACATTAGCAGGCACACCCAGGCAGCTCCCTCCACACCCATCTTTAAACATGATGTGGCTTCTGTTTGACAGAACGATTACATTGTTAATCAAGAAACTATCTTTCAGGTTTTAATGTCATCACAAGTTAAGGAGATATAACAGTTCTTTATGCTGACCGACATCTTGATTTTTTGTGAAAAAATAAAGACACCTTTAAGAGAGCTGTGACTCTGACATTTTTACTGTTCAACCTGAGGAAAGGATGTTGAGCTAAAAGTGTAAATATGAAGCCAGGTTGGAAGTTTTGTTTATATCGTATTAATACACTAAGAACTTAAAACCCATGTACTTCCAAATATAACATTAAAATGTAGAATTAGCCCACATTAAAGTCCTCAGATTTCTAGCTCCTGTGCAAGTCCAGTAAAAAAATATCATGAGCCAAACATCCTCCACGAGTTCTGGGTGATCAAAACATGATGTGCAGTAAATATTCAGATACAGTCAGAGCATTCAGACAAAGAGACTTGATTAAAAAAAATACAAAATCAGTTTAAAAAAAATGTCCATATTATTCCCCACATCTAGTTTAAACAAAAGCTGTGATGTTTGCATTAAATACAGAGGAGGCAACGTGGATGTGTGAGACCATTTCCATCAACAAACCATCTTGAGCTGCCGGTTTCACACTGACAAATGTCACCAACCCTTTAGACTTTAACAGAGACGGGACTAAAAAGAGCACAAGGATCAAAACGGTTTAATAAAAGGCGGGCAGGAGAACGAGGGTGCTGGAGTGACAAAGAGGAACGATACGCAGGTTTAAAGTCTCAGGATCAGGGAATGGCGAACTGGACCACCAGTTCCTCTTTAGCATCCACTTTGATTTGAGAGATTGCACTGCAAGCATAAGCTGCTATTTTTGATACCTGGAGAAGGAAGATGGAAAGAAGAGTTAGTGAAATGTGTGAAATCAGGAAGGGAGTGTTAGGGAGCTTCGTCAAAGGAGGGAAAACATTTTCTCATGTTTAATGAACCCAACATATTATCAGAGTTCATTCAGTGAAGGCCAGGTTCAGCAGGTAAATACTTACCTGCTGAACATCAGAGTATGGCACCAGGTCACTTGCGAGCACTTGGTGAGGCTGGCTTGTTAGGGAGGGAAGAGTGAGGGCTTTCTTTTGATGAAGGTTGGTGCTCAACACAGCCAGCTTCGTACTGGAATAATAAAAAAAAGAAAAGCTTAGATTAAAACAATGTAGAGCGATGTAAAAGATGTAGAGGGCTGAACATCAGACATTGTCCAAAATTAACATTCAAGCTGGACCGAGTTCACACCGGAGGACTTAGTGTGTGTGTTTTTTACCCAGAATGCTTTGCAGCATAAATAACAGTGAAGTCTGTGTGACAATATAGTTTTTAAATTTATAAAACTTAACAGCCTACAGATTTTTACAGTCTCATTTTTTATAGCTTAAGTAAATGCTTATCAAATTACATTACAAGTAGTCAAAGTTTTCTTTAAAGAGATCCCCGATTAGTTGTAACATTAGACTTTATTTGATAAACATGTATTTTAACTGTAAAATAAAAACTAAAAATACTGTAGGCTGTTTAGTTT